CCCCCCTACAACCCATATTCTGCACAGGCTATTTCTCTTTGAGCTTGAGGCACATTAAAATCCTACATTTCCTGGGATAAAGTGAAATTCCCCCTTCTTGTACAAACAGGGAATCTTCTATTTGTAGCGGATATTTCCATCTGCGCCAGATCTAAACCGTAGGTACGCTGCGCTTAATTGTAGTAACATCATCGATTTAAAGATTTACTCCTGGTTTTATTCTTTCCGTAACTAACACTGGAATCTGGCCAAACGCTCCGAAGAATTAACACACAGAAACTCATGGCAGATTAATACAGAGAACAAACAAACAAGCCCAGCAGTATTTGGAGAAAGAAACCCTACTCCTTGCCCAGCACCTTTTAAAATTGAAATCCCAGAGAGACTGTAAATTTTAGCTGCTTAAGACTTAAAACACCCCCCCATCATTGGAACCAGTCAAGCTTTCGGCTTCTGCTAACAAATGAAAATCCAAACTTGGGGTGAAATTAGAAAGGATGCTTTGAAAGGCACCTACAAAACTTAGGAAGCTTCAATGTAACGTGAAAAATTATTTTGCTGTCTTCTTCCATGGAGAAGATAATATTTTTTTTCATCCCAAGCACGGAGCTTACGCACAACTCTATAGCAACCTCGTGGTATTGAGTAGCGTTTCGTTTTAAGGCAGCCAGGGAACAAGCCCAGCCCCAGCGGCATCAGAACGGCCAATATTTGTATAGCACCGAAAAGCAAATGCTGCAAGGTTTAAAAACAACCGGCACGCCAGCGTGAAACACAGAGAAAGGCATCTTGTTCTCCCTTACAATAAGTAAAACTGCAATAATTTCGCTGCAATGAATGAGCATGTCCTGAGGGCAAGAAAGGTGCCCGGGAAACCAAGAGATCCTAAAAAGGAAGAGTTCAGCTGCAACTAAAACATCTGAAGCCACGTGGACTTGTGTGCTTCAGACTAAGTTTCTCCCACGGGACAATAAAGGCAGCTTAAGGAAATTTTTTTGTATTAACATCTACATCTTGACAGCGTTTTTCAAACCACGTTAAAGCAACTCAACTGAGCTGAGACAATGAGAAAAAAAAGTGCCCGTTTTATTCAGCAGAGCAGAAGGCCAAGGGGATGTTTTAGATTTACGCTGATGAAACTCAAATTCAAAGGAGCAGCTAACGGACTGGAATTCTGGTCAGCTACTCTGGATTATGCCATGAAAACCGGCCGGCGTGGAGGGTGGCGCCGTCAATTTGCCGTAGCCAAAGCAGCAGCAGAACCAGGCTCGAGGATGGTGAACGCTTCTTCCCATTCCACCGCTTCGCTTCCAAGCTCACCCACCTCTGCCCACACCACTGAGCTGAGCGAGATTGAGATGCCAAAATCCATCCCGAATGTTTAAGCCGCCGAGTTTCAGCGTTACTTATCTCCAGGTTTACAAACGAAAACAAGCTCTGATTTGGTTATAAATCTAAATTGCAGATTTTCAATGTGATTTCAATGTATTTTCAATATAAAATGGCAATATTAATGCATCCAACCAGCCATGCTTTTAACATGTTTGGCCTCCTAATTTCCCAGAGAACTTTGCTCCACCCAAGACAACTTTTTGAGTTCCAGATGCACCACTGAAGGTAACCGGAATGCTGCCTGGGAACCAAAGCTTTAGATACGGTTAATACAGGCACAGCTCCTTTAGCTTTGTTGCAAAGTTACAACCGCTGGACAGTAGTTAACAACTGGTCAGGAAACAAAGGAGACAAATATTTTTATTTCATTCTTTAGTACTGACACTCAGGCGTAAACCTTTAATTGGAACAAGTATTTCGGGAAGAAACAACATTCATTTTAGATGTAAAAGGAGATCAATGAAAAAATTAGACGCGACTTTGCAAAAAATCAGTTGAAAAGATACACACAGCTTTGCAAAACCCCTCCTGTTTCCAGAAGCAGAGCTGGGCAACCACAACTGAAATCGAGAGTGGCTTTAATAATAAAGGCAGTAGTAGGGTGACTTTTGGTTGGTTTTTTTTTTTCCCCCCTGGATTGAGAAAAACAGAGTCAGTGTGAAGCAGCAGAGAGTAATTCACTGCCTTTCCCAGTCTTAACCACAGCAGTTAAAACCAGGCCTGATGTCGCTTGCTGTTACCCGACGTGAACGGAGTCGCAGCAGAGGGAATCGGGGCTGAAGGCAGCACAGGGTCCGCCGTGTTAAAACGTCGCTCTCGCGAAGCCACCAAGGCGAAGCGCCCGCCGCGCTGGCAGAGGCAAAGCCGACCTGTGATTTATCGAGTCTTGCTTTGCAGCCGCGCGAGCCTCGGCCCTATGCGTGGAGCCCGTTTTAACACGGCACTGAAGCTCACGTTGGCCTGTCACCGCGTCCTGCCTTGAAAGAGCTGCATTTAAACACAGCCTGTGGCCTCGGAGGTAGAGCAGTGCGCTCAAGACTGGATTACGGCATGACGCCTGGCTGGTGCGTTCACAAAGACTTCTCCTCTGAAGTTCAAATCACCTCAGAGTCCCAGCTTGACTCTTAAATGGTTAAACGTGCTTGCAGCGCTTCTTTTTCTTTCTCTGCGCTCCTTCAATACACTCATCTGTCTCCTCTTTTTGCCTTTTGTGTTTTTTCTTATGGCGTTTCTTTTGCTTTGCCTCAGAGTCCTCTATGCTGAGGTCTTCCCCATCAGATTTTCCCGTAGAAATTTCTCCATTGCCCACATTTTCATCACAACTCATACTTTCTTCTTCGTGCTGCTCTTTATGTTTCCTTTTCTTTTTCCCTGAGCGACACTCATCCAGTTCCTTCCCGTTCAAGCTATCTATCTTAGGCAGTTTCACTTTTGGTTTTTTGCAATGCTCTGCACTCTCTGCCGCATCTCTCTTCTGCTTCTTCTTTTTCTTTTTGACTTTGGTTTTGAGTTCTTCGGAAGGCTCCAAAGCTTCGTCAGCCGTTGGGCAGGAATCGTCTGCCTGCATTTCTGTTTCAGTCTGGGATCCCTTCAGTTTTGCCATGCGCTTGGCGAAATATTCCTGTACAGTGAGAACACTCTTGACTGTATTGTAACCGTCCGCAGGCTCAGGCAGACAGCCGCTTCCCTGCTTCTTTTCCCGAGACTCAGGATGGGTAATATCCTCCTGCAGGTGAACAAAGAGGAGCGGGAGTGAGAGTCAGAAATAACGGCTTTAAACATCAGGTTATTTTTGCCAACCATATCCTGGGCTGCATCAAAACAAGTGTGGCCAGCAGGTCAAGGGAGGTGATTCTGCCCCTCTACACCACTCTCGTGAGACCCCACCTGGAGTACTGCATCCAGCTCTGGAGACCCCAACATAGAAAGAGACAGACCTGCTGGAGAGTGTCCAGAGGAGAGCCATGAGGGTGACCCGAGGGCTGGAGCACCTCTGCGATGAGGAGAGGCTGAGAGAGTTGGGGCTGTTCAGCCTGGAGAAGAGAAGGCTCCGGGGAGACCTTATGGCCACCTTCCAGTGCCTAAAGGGGCTCCAGGAGAACTGGGGAAGGACTTTTTACTGGGGCGTCTAGTGACAGGACGAGGGGGAATGGCTCTAAACTGGAAGAGGGCAGGTTTAGATTAAAGATTAGGAAGAAATTTTTCACTCTGAGGGTTGTAAGGCACTGGCACAGGTTGCCCAGAGAGGTTGTTGAGGAGGTGTTCAAGGCCAGGCTGGAGGTGGCCTGGGGCAACCTGGTCTGGTGGGAAGTGTCCCTGCCCATGGCAGGGGGGTTGGAACTTGATGATCTTCAAGGTCCTTTCCAACCTAAACCATTCTATGATTCTATGACTTTTTTTTGCACACTAATAAAAATAAATAAATTAAAAACCAATATGGTGCTTTGAAAATCAATTGTAAAAGTATAGACTTGGGCAGGAGCAAGAAGCAACCCTTAATGCACAAGATATCGTAGGTTTGGGGAGAAGAGGTGGCAGTATGGAAGGCAGCACAAGACAATCCTCTGTTGATTTGAATGTCTTACTGTTTACCCGCTCCTGTGCAACCCATGCAGATTATGTATAATACTATCATACTCGGTGTATTACACGCGCTTCGCAAAGGCACATGTCTCTACAAGATATGAAACAACATGAAAAATAACACAGTACAATCTATTAGCCTGTGGCATAAAGGAAATCCCATGCCTGGAACACCTCTCCAGCAAAGTGCAAGAACTTATGATCTACGGCGCGATCCGGCATTGATGCATCTCTTCCACCTTATCTGATCTTTTAAGAAATGTTTGTTTCAGAGCTGGTTTACTGTCGTTGTGTCCTAGATGTTGTTATTTAAACACGCTCCATTTGATCATACGTTATCAGATGGCATAACCAACATCACAGGTTGGATCTTACAAGATTGGATCTTTGCATACACAAAATAAATAGCTGCTGAACTCTCGCTGCAGGTGAATATCTATAAGAGTCTAGTATCTAGAAAGTAAATATAAAAGAAAAAACAAAGTATAGCTCTGGAGCTGGATGTTATATACGGCATGAAGAGAATTGACTTTGAAAAAGCAACAAATGCAACAAGATGAAAACGCCTATCTTGTTAAATTATCTGTGGCTTACAAAACACACAACCCAAAAAGGCAGCTGAAATTCAGACTGGTTTGCATGGATACCGAAGCACTCAAAAATCAAAAAATATGTGGCATATTCTTCCCATTGGCAAATGTCACAAATGACTCTTGGAAACGTCCCAAATTTTACATTGCTTTTTTAATTTTATTTTTTTTTTTAAAGCCTTGTATGAACTGCAGGTAAGTACACACACCTCCCTCAATGGGAAAAGCCGAGCACGTAAGAATTGTGTAGAAACCTGACCACCACGCTTCTTGAGCGGGGAGGCAATCCACAGCTATCGCAGGCAAACGCGGCGAGTACGACAGCGACGCTTCACCGGTTTCCCATTCATAAATGCACGGATAGATAAGAGCATCCACTCTGCCCACACATCTTATACGTGAACTGAAGTGAGTATAAAATGCAACCAAATCGAGCAGTAATATTTCATACCCACTTTCACCGGCATAAACTGATACACAGGGTGAAGGCCAGCAGCAAACTGGGAGATATAAAACCACTTATCTCAACGCTTTATAGTTATTGCATGATGGTGCAGATAAGTGATCTGGCTCTCTTCAGGGCATCGTTAAACTTGCGAGCTGAAGCGGGGTTTATTAGGGTTTGTGAGTAAGGTTTCGCAGGTCTGACTCCTTCTGCATCCATAACCTTTACTCACATGAGTTTCAAAGATTTGTGTCATTAGCGATGCATTACGAGTAGCGATTTCCTCATACATCTGCTTTCAAGAGAGCTATTCCAGTGGAACGAAAGTAACGCCGCACTTGAGATTCCAGTAATGTTTGTGTGGGCACTTATAAAAAATTAGGTACTTTTCTTGTAGGAATACCTTGTAGTGTACCTTCAGGTTAAGTTTACAAAGTAACTGAAACTATTTGACTTCTGGCAAAGAAGTCTGCAAAGAGGTGTTGAACCCGGGGGAAAAAAACCCGCGTGCTTATCTACGCACATCTATACATATAGATTACATTTGAAAGCTGCTGTAGAAGTGTGACAAGACAGAATCTACAGAATAAATGGACTGAGCTACGCTTGTAGTCGCCGCCTTTTTAATAAGATACACCTCCCAGCCCATGCAAGCAGCGTTAGTGTGGGTCAAAAATAGACGCCCTGCTAAAGCAGAGTTAAACAGGTCACTCGCTTTTCCTTTTCCTGCTACCCACAGCAGGATTTGGACACCTTGGGATTGCAAAATGACAAACGGTCTCCCAGGTTTTCTGCCGCGGATGCCAGCCAGAACAGTTTCCCTCCCCACCCCGCTATGTAAAACGAACTTGCGCCCAGAACGCCAATTACCCCCCTGGCCAACCAGGAAAGGATTTTCTCATTCCCTTGGTGACTTCAAGTCCTGACAACTTAATTACTGTAATTGAAGGCAAATATTACTTGAACTCTACACATTTCTTTTATAAAATACATTAGACATAAAAAAAAAATGTTCCTTTGGTTAAGCTGAGGAGTTCAGAAGGTATGCATGATCCCAGAAAATAAGAACCTTGCTCACAAACTCCTTTATTGATAAGAATTTTAATAACCATGGGCCACTGCACACAGAACTAACAGGGCATGGAGACAAGCAAAGAGGTGCCAACCCTAGAAAACCTCTCAGTTTAGGAAAAGCTTATGTGAACCCATAAATCACCTGGAAAGACTGTTAAGTGCCAGAAGAGTTCCCCCTCCCGTGATGTACCTGTTCGAGTAGCCATGGGAACACCGCTGAACTCTAAACATGGGTTTTCTCTAACCTCTCCACAGGAGAGTCGCAGTTTATGCAATTCCTCCCCTGCTTGCCCCAACACACGCATGTAAAAGTTTTGAAGAATATATACATAACCCAAATGTGTACGGTGTTGCTGCAACTTCTGAAAAGCAACTTATTACACGGGATAAAAGCCGTAAAGAAACGCTCCTGCTCCAAAGAACTGATGAGCACGTAAAAGGCAAAGAGCAACTGTGCTATAACTGGTGGGAGGGCTGAAGATGGGCTTTGGAGGAGATGTGTGTCATAGAATCATAGAATGGTTTAGGTTGGAAGGGACCTTGAAGATCATCGAGTTCCAACCCCCCTGCCATGGGCAGGGACACCTCCCACTAGACCAGGTCCACGCTGTGAGTTCCAAAATTGCCAACAAAATGGGGATGAGAAGATGAAGTGAAAAGGATTTGAGAATACTGGCCTGTAGGGAATTCGTAGGAGGGTCCCAAGCAAGAGAAAAGGACTGCTTGAAAGGTGGTGTTAAATGTGGAATTATTAGGAGGAAACAATAGGAAAATTCAAGGAGAGGCTGGGAAGTGCACAGGAAAAGATGAAGGTCAATTATAGCCAGAAATCCCCTGTAAATATCATCTGTTTATGTAATTAGAGAAATGTATGGAAAATAATCTGAAGCACATAAAGCACTCTGAGTACCACCGTTGTTTTTTTTCTGCCCGCTTTCTTCACCTGAGACACACAATGCTGATTTAATCATTAAGTTAGTACACTAAACTTCGAGAGCGAAATCCTGGTTCCCTTGATTCCTGCAGGATCAGGATTGCATCTTTAAGGCATCAAACTCTCAGAGCACCTTTCCACCACAGTTATTTAGACCCCCCTGCCATGGGCATCAATTATAAAAAATAGCGGTCAATTATATAAAGAAAATAATTCACATCACATCATGAAAACCATTTGGCAACAGTAGAAGCCCCAAGCGGAAAGTATTTAGACACCTCATGAAATCAAATCAGTTTGAAACCCAAATATCTTCAGAGATTTAAGACCTTAAGTTGAAGAATTAAAATCCAAAAAAGAAAACCGTATCCGCGTGTTACTCAGGGAGGGAAAGCCAGACATAACCCATCAGTAAAGACAAAAGGGTGCCGGTACATAAGCAACAGAAGCAGCTTGGATTAATTCAGTGAAGTTTCGCTCTTCAGACTGCAAGTGTTTCTCTCTCAGCACTTTAAGCTTAAGAGTAGAGGAATCAACAAATCTACTACACGGTCTCAGATCTGCCACATATGAACTACAATCACTTAAGGCGAGTAATTTCACATGCCTTTGCTTCCTCATTTGCAAACGAGGGGCTACTAATTCACAAGCAATTTTCTTAGCTCAAATTCACAGAAACGACACAAAAGGAAAAGTACAGAAGCATAAAGGCAGAATAAAGCTAAACTATAATTTCAGCAGATTCTCGCTTAACTTACAGAAAATGGGCTAGATGAAGGAAGGAGAGAGAAGGCAATCACACGATCGTTCGCAGCTTTAACACGCAACAGCCCCCTTCCGCAGTCGGGCTGAACCACAGCGATTAGCCACTTTCTTGTTGAGAAACCGTAACAATAAGATTAATATAATCCAGTCCTGTTTCTGCTGCTTTGAGATCCTCACCGCGGAGGTGCGCCGCTACGACCCCCACGCAGCGCACAAAACTCGACAGGCAGGAACCGAGGGCATCCCTGTATCTTTCTAACCCAGGTCTAGCTGTAGCAGAGAGAAGCGCAGCAGATTATTCGCGAAGAGTCACTCCGGAGCTTTGCAGACATTAA